CAAGACAAAAGAATTATCTGACACAACAGTTCAAAGCATATTGCACCTGTCAAAACGTCTGTCATCTTCTATAGAAATGCACCATCCTAAGAGAGAAAAGGGGAAACTTTAGAAAAGTCACTCAGGAACAACAGCTCACTTTGTCTCCTTCCTCTGGCCAACTCCTCCATCTGAAAGCCATTGAGCTAAAGATTGCCTGGAAGGACCAGACAATAGGAAGGTCTCTTTCATTGTCAAGGACAGTTACACTTTGAAGATGACGCTCAAAAGAGGTTAAAATGGGTCAACAAGCAATTGTTGGGCCTATGCATGGACATGTGAAGAGAACATTGTTAAAGTCACACACGTGCATGCATGCATGCACGCGCGCGCCTGCACACCCACACACACACACACTCCCTCTCTCTCTCTCTCTATCTCTCAGACTCAAAGAATTCAACTTTAGCCTAGAGGAGAAGTGGGAAGGAAGGAAGGAACTAACACATGCCATCCTGATTTCTTTCATCCCCAAAAAGCGTGAGCTAATCCAGGAAGATTAGCTGATGGATGACTTTTGGGGGGGATACTGTCATTGCAGACATCCAGCCACACTGTGCACTAGAGAGACAAGAGCAAGTTGGAGACCAAGTGACATGATGTGATTTAGGGAAAGGGCACAGAAATAGGCCAGTGGTGCTAACTTCACATAGGCTATTCTATTTCTAAGTGTGTCTTCTGGATGTACATTAGGAAATATGTGTGGCAGTTCATCAAGTGTTTGATAAATGACTAGGAGGATGAGTATATTCCAATAGTTTGTTTTACTTTTGTGTCATTTCATTTTTTGTGTGTCTTTCTGTGTGCCGGTACTATAGCTAGAACTCAGAGCCTCAATGACTTCCTTCGCATTTATTTGTTTGTTTGTTTTTGCTTTTTCTCAAGGCTGGCACTTTACCAAACTTGAGCCCGAGCTCCATGTCTGGCTTTTTTTGCTGGTTAATTGGAGATAAGAATTTCACAGATTTGTCTGCCTGGGGCTGGCTCTGAATGGTGATTCCTCAGAGCTCAGCCTCCTGAATAGCTAGAAATAAAGGTGTGAGCCACTAGTGCCTAGCTACTTTTTATGCAATTTCTTAGAGACCTTATCTGAGGGAAGCTCACAGAGGGAGCAGCAGCATGAACACATTTCAGCCTCAAGTTTATGGACCAGGTCTGCTTTATACAGGCCATATGACTCCAGACAAATCACATTAACCCCTCTATTTTCAGGATCCTCCTGGGTAAAAAGGATAACAGTAATGCCATTCATATACCAGGGTGAGGGGCACTAAAGAAGACACACTCAAAAGAAAATGCCACAGAGAGAGCAGCATAGCAGAATTGTCCCTAATACTCCAAAGGACAATAATACTAACTCCATCTTCTATTGACAGATGAATGTGCTATATCTATACAGTGCAGTATTAATTATTTCACTATAAAAGTGAACATGGATGAATCTTAGAACTTGCATGTGTTAAATGAGAGAATCCAGTCACAAAACACTACATATCATAATTTCACTCCTATTGAATTTCCAGACTTGGCATATTGACAGGGGCAGAAGATAAATTTGTAGTTGCTTAGGAACACAATGGAAAGAAGCAGAAGAGCTCAAAGGTTCAAAATTTCCATCTGAGCAGATGAAAATGTAGTTCACATGATCTATGGATATAATACTGTGAATATAACAAAGCAGTTAAATAAATAAAAGTAAGATTCATAGAAAAACCTTCATGGCAGAAAATAGAAATAATATGGGATAATAGTGGGATGAAAAAATAATGAGATAAAGAGCAGGGTTACTGCAATAAGAAAATCAGAATATGCTCAATGCGTGGTATGTGATAACTATTGATTATCAGTGTTGTTTTTGTGAGTGAATATACATCACTATGTGCAGCTTCAGGAATACTTTGGAAAGGAATGTTACTCCATACCCTGTTAGTGAGACTGGTGTTTCCATTTAAATCTTAAAATACCTCTTTATTTTTTTTCTTAAATGTTCTTGTGGCATATATATGCCTCTTATCTAGCTACTTGAGAGAGAGAGAGATTGGCAGGCTTTCAATTGAAGGCTGGCCCTGGCAAAAAGTTAGTAAGACCCTATCTCAAAACCAAATCAGTCTTCATGGAGCATTTCTGAAATCCCAGCTACCCAGGAGGCATAGATAGGATAATCCTGGACTGAGATCCTAGGGGAAAGATTCCATACCTTATGTAAAAAAAGAATAACTAAATCAAACAGAACTAGAGCATGGCTTAGATGGCAATGTACACATCTAACAAGTGCTAGACCCTGAGTTCAAAACCTCACTATCTCACACACACACACACACACACACACACACACACACACACACACACACACACAATCTTTTAAATTCAAGTTTATTCCATGAAATCCAAAGACAATTTATCCCTAGTTTATTAAGAAGGTGCAGTTCAAAATCAAACGTACCTATCTCTTCTGTGAAGTTTTCCATTTAACAATATTAAAATATTCATGACTATCAAATCCTTAAACTTTAACAGTTGAATAGCTATAGAATCAAACATGAGAAAACTGAAAACTATTTAATAAAATCATTCACTACTAGAGTCATTCTTCAACAACATTATTTTGGAGGGTAAGTAATATTGGAATACATTGCATCTGTGTAGTTAGATGATATAATAAACCTCATTGAAAGAGGTCAGGGGATGAAGAAAGAGAGTAATAGTCAATCTGATTAAAGTACAGTATATGCATGTATGATATACTATGGTGAAAACACCAATAAATCTACACTAAAAAAAAGAATGTCCAGGAGTAGGTACCAAACTGAAAGGGTGAATATGGTTGGAGTATTTTACACTTCTGTGTGAAAAAAAATAGAACAAAAATGAAGTTGTTTTAAGGAAGAGAGAGAATGAGGGAGATAATGAAGGAAATGAGTCTAATCATGACATACTGTAAGTATATATGGGAAGGTCACAATGAAATCCCCCTGCCCAACCAATGTATGCTGATAAAAATGTTTAAATAAAAGAAACTTAAGCAAACTAAAAAATATATATTTGGATTACTTTCCAGAGGCCAGAATACTATAATTAGACATTTAAATGATAATTAAAATGTTATAGATCTGCAGGTATAGTTAGTAGCCCAAAACAAATTAATTGTGCTTTTGGTCTTCCTTTTTTTAAGTTTAAACAGCATTGCTGTTTTAGTAAATTCACTGATCTGTATCTCTACAGTTAGGAATCAGTCTACTATCCCGACAACTTTTCCTGCTCTTGGAATAACCATTCAAGCTGTTTTAAAATCCCCAAAGGCAATGGTTTGCAATACTGGGAATGGAACTGAGGGCTTCATGCTTGCTAAGCAAGTACACTACCATTGCAAAGATTTCTTGACTTGAGAAACCACCTTTGTGAAAACTTAGAACCAAAATTCTATCTACAAACCTTCAATGTGTCAACATACTTCTTCCCAAACAAATAGCAAAAGGTTGAACTTGACAGCAGTCATGTGTACTGTGGTGAGTACATACCATCATATATTCAAGAGACTATAGCACTCACCCATGTATTTTCTTACAATTAAACCATACTAATAAATCAATAATGCAATTAAAGCATTATATCATAAAAACCATACTGATCATATTAATGAAAACCCAAACTTAGAGTTCGTTACTCCTAGAGAATATGACTATCTAAAGAAATTGAGCAGTCTTCAACAGGCTAAACAGATTTCCTAAATGTAATTCAGCTGGCTTACTATATGCTATCCTTATTGATACTTTGACACCTAAATGTGGGCTTGATATATGACAGGCTTGAGGTATATGAGAATAAATATTCTATATTCTTCTTCATCTATAGAGAATATATATAATAAATAGCCTGAACCCTTCTTCATGTAGATTATATATTCTATGTAAAATATATATGTAAAATGTAGGATATATATATTCAGTGCACAAACATACACTAATTTGAGCCAAAGTAAAAAAATATTAGTGCAGAAAGATTTTGCAAGTTCCATGTACCAAGTTCTGTAAATGCAGGGCAATGAATTCAAGGAACTGAAGCACACAGCTGAAGATAGATACACGGAGCATACTTGACTCCTGTTTGCTGAATATTCAAAATGAAAAAAACAAACCTAGATAATCTCATAAAAGAAAAAAGTCATAAAAATAACCTTAACATTACATCACAGTGAAAAGCTGCTTAATGAAGCTGTAAGGATGATGAATTAAAAAAAAAAAAAAGCCCCTTAAAATGCCCAGGATTTGATCATGTACTCTGCAACCCTTCCGGTATTTTCTATCCCCCAAATCAGCAACTTGGGATTGTCTTTTCCATTAAACTTCCTTCCAAGTGTTACAATGCCTGGAACTAGAAATCTGGCTTCGGATTTCTGACATAGAAACCTTAATATAGCCTGAAGAATTTCCCTAAGCACATCAGCAGTAATCAAATTGCATGTTAACTATTAAATTACAGGCATTCAATTATTTAAAAAAAGAAAAAGAAAACGAAAACCCTCTGTTTAAAAATTCTAAAGACCCTTAGAAAACATCCTTAAACCGGAGCCAAAGCTGGCAAGTGAACCGGTTTACCTGTACAAGGAAACCCGAGATGGAGACACACACACACACACACACACACACACACACACACACACACACACACACACACACACACACACACACACAGCAAAGTGGCACGCGGTGTGCCCCATCCCCATTGTGGGGCACACATTCTTTGCAACGCTGTAGAACAAAACATGCGATTAGAGATGCTTCCAAGAGGAACGTTTGGGGCTGGGACAGAGACTTTTGACATTATTTATTAGGTTCAAAAATGCTTCACAAAAGCCCAACAATAGTTCTGTGGAAACCAGTCCATCTGAGGCCCTTTCTGTTGTTGTGCACAGGCATTGAACGGAGGAGGGGCAGGGCTCCTGGAACAATTCCCTCCCTCCGCGGTCAAAGCAAGTGAGCATTCTTCACATTCACCACAGGCCTTTGGAGAGCCCGTGAACAAGCCTTATGGAACCCCCGGCGTGGGCGGGGGTGTGCTGCTGAGCAAACCTGTATTAACCTCTTGGAGGGAAAATGGGTACAAGCCCCACCCTGGAGTACAGGAAGGGGTGCTATTGCCAGATTGCTTGGGAAGGGGATGTCTGCCTTCAGCCTCCCTTCCTCTTGGAGATAAAGATGCTGAGGATGCTTGGCTAGCTTCTCTGGTGCTATGGTAACCTTGGCTTTCCCTAGTGCATGTCCAGTTGCCACGAGGTTCCCACTGTGGAGATCTGGGTAGGTCCCAGCACCGGGTGTGGCTTCTGTACTGTCTTCTAGCTTGGGTTCTGACAAGGTCCGCTTGGTGTTCTGCTGGGTGCTATGGATCTGGTTCTTGCCACAGAGGCCAATGGCAGTGGAAGGCCTCTGGTTGGAAGCTGAAAGGTAAAGAAGGGAAGAATGAAAGGTCCAGGGCCTAGGGCAGGACCATTCTGCATCCGTTGGGACATGGAACAAAAATCTGTCTTGATGCTCAAGAAATCAACGTTGATATTGTAGGAAGAGAAATGAAAAGCCCCCAATAGTTACTTCCCATATGTTCCCATATTTAAAAAAATAAAACGAAAATGTTAAGCCAGGTGCTGGGGCTCATGCCAGTGATACTAGCTACTCAGGAAGCTGAGACCTGAGAACTGCAGTTTGAAGCCAGCCTTGCCTTTAGGACATTCTACGAGACTCTTATTTCCAGTTAACCATCAAAGACCTGAAAATGGAGCTGTGGCTGTCAAGTGGTAGAGCACCAGCTCTGAGAGAAAAAAAACTAAGGGACAGTGTCTAGGCCCTAAGTTCAAGTCCCAGTACCAGCATTAAAAAAAATGATATCTTCTTAATGTCCAAATAACTTTTACAGAATTTTCAGAAAACTTAATTGGAAAGATAACCATTCAAAACAGAGCACATCAACTTCTAAATTTGGAGAGTTTGTGAATGGAACATTATTTTGTGGTTTTTCTACTCTATGTGTGAATAAAAGAATCTATGGCCTATTCAGTTGAGCAATGCATGGCTTGGAAAACAATCTAGTTATTTCATAGAGTTTATTAGAAATTGCAAATCAGCTCAAAGTAAAAACAGCCGATTAACCTAACACACTAAAACCCATTAACACTATTAACAGGCTTCATTTTTTTCTTTTGCTCCAGTAATTTTTTTCCGTATAAAAGATATGGTAACATGTGTGTGTGTGAGAGAGAAAGAGAGAGAGACAGAGACAGAGACAGAGAGCGACAGAGACAGAGAGACAGAGAGTGTTGATATTGGGGCTTGAACTCAGGGCCTCATGCTCTTGCTTCACTTTTTTGCTCAAGGCTGACACCCTGCTGCTTGAACCACAGCTTCCTTCTGGACTGTCTCTGGCAGAAGCTTTTCCACCCCTGTCCTTAGCATTCTTGCTATAATGGTACATTCTGTAGTTCAAAGAAAGTTTCTTTCTTGTGTCAAGTGTCTCTCCACCCCTCCTCTCCTCTCTCTCTCTCTCCCTCTCTCCCCCTCCTTCCCTCTTCACCTCCTTCTTTCTGTATCTCCCCCTCTCTCTCCCTCTCCTTCTCTCTCTCAATTGCAACAAACTGTGCAAACACTTGGGGCGTAATCTCTACTCTAAAATTCCTTTTTGCAAAAGTTAGCTGACACCACCAGTTTAATTCTTCTCTGTGACTCTTTGTAGAAATTTAGAGATATGTATAATTTCCTTCCATTTTTCTCTTGTCAGGTATCATATAATCCCTACTGTGCTCAGGGAACTTTATCCTCTAGCTTACAAACAGGTCTTCAAAGTAGTCATAATCCTTAACTTACAGAGCTCAACTGAGTTCAGCAAACATTTATGGGAGTTTATCACGACTGTAGAACTGATGTTGGGGATAGCTTTGACTTGATTTACGTCTTTTGTGACTCCAAAACCTATTGCTTTGGTTTATTTCTTGACTCTTAATGATTTTTTCTGAAAGGATGTATGACTGGGAGACACATCATACACCTTATCCCATGCTATGAATTCATGGTTTCCTTAACTGTGAAATGGAGATTGCTAACATCTGCTTAAGCATTAGGTGGAGATTTTGTAAAAATCATGTAAAATGATCACACCGACCTAAGCACATAAGAGCAGCTTAAGAAATGGGGACTGAAATAATGATAATAACTGTCACTATCATTTATCTGGGTGATACTTGAATCATCAGGTTACTTATACCTGATCTCTCCTTCGATGCAATGCTTGGCCATGCTGTTGTAGACTCTCACTAAAAATCAACTGACACTGTTCCTGTAACACTTTCTAGAACATGGCATACCCCTGGCTCAGTCATCAATTCTGCTTATATGGAGCTAAAAATAAAAAGTGATATAAGACTACAAAAGTTAAGAACCACAATTTGACCTACCAGTATCTCTCTTGGAATTGCTTTGGGGCTGCTTATGAAGACTTAGATGTCTACCTGCAGCCTCCAGGTGGATAGGTTTTGGTAAGGGTGGTCGAAGAGGCCTATTTGCCATTTGGTTTTCCAAATATGGACTGCTCCAGGCCTTCTTGGGGATTTCTTTGGTTTTCTTCTTATTTTTTCCAACAGTGACATTCAATGAATTCTCATCCATCTCACTGGATGGAGTAGGAGAGGGACAGGCTTCTCGATAGCTTTCTTCATCCAAACAAACTATGTTCTCAGTAAGCTTGGGGATTACGTACTGGGTAGTATTAAGTAGTCTTTTACATGCAATTGGACCTCGAGTCCTTTCTGGAAATACCATAAAAAGTAAATATGTTAGCTTAAAAGAATTCATTTCTTTGTTACCTACTAAATTAGTGGGCAAAAGGATGAGGGGCAGAAAAATGAGAGAGAAAGACAGAAAGGGTGACACTGATCAAGATGCACTGTACTCATAACCTGACTTCTGGAATTGTAACCTACAACTACTTAATAATAACATGGTTTTTACAACTCCTTACTAATATCTTTAAAAAAAAAAGAATGGAAACAGATACTATATCAATGTTTGTTTTGTGTTTCTACACTGGGCCAATAGAAATGACAAAGCCAAAGGACTGAGGTACCTGCATGGTTAAGAGGAGGAGGAAAAATGGTGAAAAGGAGGCCAAGGTATGATGATGTTTTGTTGAGTATAAGTTACGTTGCTGGTGCTACGTGAAACTCTACATGTGCTTCTCATTAGTCCTCACAAGATCCAAGCAGGAATGATGATCAGTTACAGTATACAGGTCAGGAAACTAGTTGGAGGCTTATGTTAAGTATACTATGACTCTCCAAAATGAACCCAAACCTACTGCTCAAGATATTCTCAGAAAGTGAAAAAAGTCTCCTTTGTATAAAACTGCTCTAGAATATTAGATAAAAATATTGTAAGATGTAACAAGTCCAGTGAAAGGCAAAGCATCCTGCTTTGGTTCTTTTGTTGTTGTTATTGTTCTTAAATTGTTATTATAAAGGTGACTTACAGAGGGGTTGAAGTTACATAAGTTGGGTAATGAGTACATTTATTTTTGAAGAGTGTCATTCCTTCCCCCTCTCTCTCCCAGTTTTTCCCTCTCATCCCCATCCCCAAGTTGTGTAGTTCATTTTAAACATCATATCTAGTGAGTCCCACTTTGATTCTCATCCAGCATCTGAGATGAGTTCCTTTACCTAATTCACATCTACTGAGAAACTGATAGCTACTGGTCCATTTGAGCCATTCATGCCTATATTTTTATATTCCTTAATACAAAGTGAACATGGGAAAGAGTTTCCAAGAATCAAAACCCGGCAGAGTAATGAACTGGTGATGGAGGGAAAAGCCAAGCAGAAAGATGTAGTAGTAGCCTCTGTGGAGTGTACAAATGGATGGAAAATATACAGGTGTGTGTGTGAGTGTGTGCACACACGTGTGTGAAACCTAGGATTTTAATTCGAAATCATTGAGGGCTCTTGGTATAAGAGGTGCATTAAGGAGGACACTAAACAACCAATAATTCATTTGCCTTTATCTTATTACCAAATTCAGTTTTTTTGAAACTCTCCTTTCTGTGTAAATACAAAAGTGAATTAAGGCTAATTTCAAAGATAGGATATTATTCTAATAATAGAAAAGTACACAAATGTATGTACCAGCTCTATGGCTTCGTGAACTTAATGTGAATCCTTAGTTTTACAATTCACTACTGTGTAGCCTTGAAAATTTTTCCTTAATTTTACCTTACTTCAGTTGTATGTTTATAAAACAATATTAATTATGCATACCTGCTAGGAATACTAGAAGAAATAGATAATACATGTAATGTGTTTGCAGTAGAGTTGGTCTATAGAAAGCAAAAATGAATGTAAATATTATATACTAAACTGGAGTTTATGTGGAAGAATATTTATTAAATATAAAGATAACTCATTTTTTAATGAAAAGAATAAAAGCTGGGAGAAAAATGAAGCAAATTAAATTGCTTCTTGGTGTATAATTCAAACCTTAAACAATTATAGGATGTTCAAATTATTCTTATAATCCAGAAAGTACCTTTATTTAAACAATAAAGATAAACCTTAGCTTAAAAATAAGTTAGCATTCCCATTGCGAATTTATTTAATGAGATTGTTTTTCACTTAGTAGTGAGATGAGATCATCCATTAGGGAAACAGGACAAAGACATAGCAATTTCTAAAACATAGGGTCTGGGAGGTGGGATTTTGAGCACAGTGATTTGGACAAATGAAGGCCAATTTGTAGGAAGTCACTGGAGCCATAGTAGTGATCAAATGACCTAGACTACTGCAGAATAAAATATCTCCTAAAAGATAAGTTGAAGTCCTAAACCTTAGTACCTGTGAATGTGATCTTATTAAGAAATAGGGTCTTTGCAGATGCTTTCAAGATGAGATCACTGTGGTGATACTAATCCAGTATGATGGGAGATAGCAAAGACACAGACACACATAAGAGTACCATGGCCAGGCACCAATGGTTCCCACCTGTAATCCTAGCTACTCAGGAGGCTGAGATCTGAAGATTGTGGTTCAAAGCCAGCCCAGGCCAAAAAGTCCCCAAGGGACTCTGATCTTCAGTTCACCACCAGAAAAACCAGAAGTGGCACTGTGGCTCAGGTAGAACATTAGCCTTAAGCAAAAGAGCCCAGGGACAACACCCAGACCTTGAGTTCAAGCCCTATGACCAACAACAACAACAAAAAGGATACCATGGGTTGAGGGAGGGATACACTTGCAAGCCATGAAGGGCTGAGGTCTGTTAGCAATGAGTAGATGCTTAAAAAAAGGCATTGGATAGTCTTATTCAGAACCTCCAGGCAAAGCCAAACCAGCTAAACAATCTAGATTTGGGGGATAGAAAAAGCAGAAGAAAAGAAAAAGGAAGACAATGCAAGGTGGTGTGGATAGAAGCAGGATGAGATGAGTGTTGTGAGTTCTAGAGCGCACCAACTTGTAAATGACCCAGTCCCTGCACTCAAAGCAGTCAGGTGGCAAAAAAGATGCCGCTGGCCCTGCCGTAGACACAAGGACACATGTCCTACAACACAACCACTTCCTCTGAAGAAAGACAAACAAAGCAAATGCCCTATCTAGAGAGAAAGCCATGTATGGATATCCTGAGTCCACATTTTCCATTAGAAGAATCAGACACCTTCCAACTCTTTTGTTGCTAGAAAGAAACGAAGACAGATTCTTTTAAAATTTTTCAAAAGAAGGAGAATTTGTTTAATGTTGCTAACTACTCAATCTTTTTCAAACATACAGCATGAGACGCACAAGTCATAACTTCTCTTTCAATCCTTACAGACTACCAATTTGTATTTTTGGCCTCTGGCCCGCACTATAAAAGTCTATCATTTATCTTCTTTCTGTATCTGTACATGTTTTGTATAAATATTCAGCCTGAAATAATGGAAATGCATTGTCAAGGCCTATGTACATGCAAATCTTTGAACTCAAGAAACCTGGTCTACTTTTGATACTGTAGATTGAGCATCTCATTTCACCACAAAAACCACAATTTGAAATGGTAGACAAATTCATCCAAAGTTCTCAGATGAAGAGTAAACATCTAGAGTCTTTCAAAATAGCAGCATTGGGTCTTGTGGTTCCAAAAGAACACAAACACTAGAACAAATGTCACTCGGTCTAAACTTGTCCACATCTAAAACAAGATGGAAGGCTTAATTAATGGAATTCTATGCCTCCATCAGAAAGAATGACATTGCCCCATTTGTTAGGAAATGGAAAAACTTGGAAAAAATTATATTAAGTGAAGTAAGCCAGGCCCAAAGAAACGTAGGTCCCATGGTTTCCCTTATTTCTAATATCTAGTATATGTATGAGTCAAGCGGAAAAGGTCAGATAATGTGATGTCAGGAAAATGAACCCTTAGATGTGTATTTTAATGTTTTTTTTCTTTCATGCATGTGTTTCTAACACATTTATAAGATTATCTCTTTGTTGCTTTGTATGTCCCTCCCCCACAGTATAACCCCTGCTTTCACTATATTTGATGTCAGTATAACTTGTGGAGGAGATGGGGAAAAACCAGTTGTTTAAGGATACGGTGGACCTGTTGCAACAATGAGAAGTACAAGTTGTCATGTCCAAAACGAGCTTTACAACGTTGGTGCGGGGGGGGGGGGGGGGGGGGGGGGGGAAGGAGAAGGATTGGGATTAGGGGGGGAGGGGGAGGCTGGGAAGGGATGTGAAGGGTAAACAAAGGAGGAGGCTGCAATGCTTGGTAAGAAATGTACGCATTATCCTGCCCATGTAACTGTAACTCCTCTGTACAGTATGTTCACAAATAAAATTAAATTAAATTTAAAAAAAAAAAGTTATCTAGGGTTAGGCCCCCACAACTCTCAACTCCAACCTCTACTTAAGTAACTCTAAGGACTGGGCCTTCATACTTTTGCATCAAAGATTTAACTACTCTGCAGAAGAGAAATTAACTTTCTATTCACTTTCTATTAACTTCATATTCACAATATATAGGAATATACATATACGTATATGTATATCTACACAAACATGTGGATGTGTAGGAAACAATAAAGTCAACATGTATGATTGTCAACATAGATGGTGATTATGCTTATTTAGTTATTGTGTTAGTTACCTATTTTGTCAATGATAAAGTTTTTTTCCCTGAACTTTACAAATTTCCTATCCCAGATAATAACAAAAGTTAGGTAAAAAAATCTCTACAGCGCATTACTTGAAGTGTGGTACTTCTTGTGCAATAGTGCATCTCCTGTGTCTGATTCAGTATTTTGTAACCCCTGCTACACATTGGACAATACCTGGCATGCTTTTCAAAAGAGCCATACTCAGTCCTGCCTGTAACTAATCAAGACTTTTGTAATCCCTTTAATGATGAATCAAAGCTGGGCGCCAGTGGTTCATGCCTGTAATCCTAGCAACTCAGGGGGCTGAGATCTGAGGATTGGGGTCCAAAGTTAGCCCAAGTTGGAAAGTCCATGAGACTCTCCAATTAACTACCAAAAAAAGCAGGAAGTGGAGCTGTGGCTCAAGTGATAGATCACTAGCCTTGAGCATAAAAGCTCAAGGACTGTGCCTAGGCCCTCAGTTCAAGCCTTAGGATAGGCACAAAAATACAAAATATAAGACAAAGATAAAGTATATAATAAGAAGAGGGCTAGAAATATTGCTCAAGGTAGACTCACTTGTTAGGATGCACAAGGTCCTGGGTTTGATCCTCAGAACTACAAACATCTGTACAATCAGGATTATGAATTGTCAGGTCCTT